CTCCAGCTCGCGCGACGGACGGTGCCCATCCGGTGAGTTGAGGCCGTCCGTTCTCTTTCTGCCTTTTTGCTTCGTCGCTTAGCACCCGCCAGCTGTGACACAACAAAAAGCGCTTCCCGAAGACGAACCCCCAAGGGGAGATTCTTCTCACTTAGGGACCTGGAAATAAAGGGTAATCACCTTTCGGGATGACTCAAAATTGGGACCAAATGGGGAAACCAAAAAGTTAAAAGGTAGCGTTGTGGGGGAGATTCCCTTGTACAAGACCCATTATCACACCAGTGGGGATAAACCCTTGATCCCCCAATCTGTTTGCGTTTGTCTGTTTGTTTGGTGTGTTGTTTTTCCTGTGTTTTTTTTTCCGCGGGGAGATTGTACAATAGAACGAAAGCCCTGCGGGAAAGGTCCCTTGACTTTTTTTTCGCTCTATTTTACAAACCCCTGCAAGTTTAAGGTGCCTTGGTTTCGAACTGTATATGTATATATGCGTACATGTACATTGAATTTCGTATAGCGAGAGAGAGAGAGAGGTGACAAACAGAGATAGACTGCAAAGCTTATTTTCTCAGTCTCCACTTGAAACATGAAGCGATAACTTATCAGTCTCTTTCTCTTCTGTTTTCATTTTCTTCAGACCGAAACCCAGGCAGAGGCCCCTAGAGGGGGGTTTGCGCACTGGGTTCCCAAATGAAACCTTTGCGGGCGCGAACCCACACCGACCCGGTCTCAGGCCAGAGGGAAGCCGGAAAAAGGGTGTTGCCACATTGGTAAGAGCTCCAAATATGGGCTGTGGTTGTCAAAAATAGGGAAACCCCAAAATGGGTTGCCCGATCGGGTCAATGGAAACATGGACTAAAACCTGCTGTCCGAGTCCTGGTGGTATGCGCTGTCGGCGTGCGTCTTGCAAATGTCACACGCAGCGATGGACAAGGTGTCTTGCAAGCGTGTCCCACATGAGGTTCCACTCTTCACTTGTCTCCAGACAGGTGACTCAAGTGGCCAGGGTGTGTGAGACCAAACATTCAGTTCAAAGCAAGCCCCACAGAGCTGCGGGGCTGCGACAAAGCGGCAAGGTGAGCCCAAAACGCATTGAGTTCAGCTTAAACATCGCCACCTGACAGAGTGAACTCATGGCCCTTGCAAAAGACTTGCCGCGTGCACGTGGCTTTGCCGGCTTAGAAACTCTCACGTGGTGAAACTCTGCGCCTCAGCTTGCGAGCGACATCAGGCAGCGCGACGAATCCGTTGCGTGTGCAAAGATGCCTGCCAACCTCTGTGAAGGGCTTCCAACCAAAACCAGCTGCCACGTGTTGGGCTGAAGAAAGCCGTACACACGGGCACCCTTGTCAAAGAGCGAGGGCGACCACTGGTGGCCACTCGAGTCTGATTGGAGGCCATCATTTCCCGCCAATCCCGCCGCGTGGCATATGCGGCATGCATACATGCTCGTAGTGTATCGTAGCTTCGTAGCTCGTAGTGCTCAGGAAGTTCGCCTCACACCAAAGCGACCGGAACCCGAAACGCCTCCAGATTCACCAGGCGCCCTACCCCCCAAAAAAAACAGAATAAAAACCGGCGCCTGATCCCATCCATCTACTCGGTGGTGAGCTTCACCACAGGAGTGTTGCTGAGCACGTTGTCATAAGCGACTCTCCAGACGATGAACCTCAAGGCGAGGATCGAAACAAAAAGATATGCGATGCAACTCTCTGCCGGTCGGCAGGCAAAAGTCCAGCATGCCAAACATGGGCAGCACATACATTTCCCAGCCGAGATGCGTGATAATCACCAGCAAGATGGTGAGCACGGCGCAAGCAACGTACGAAGCAGACATGGCCTGGAAAAAAGAGGGAGGCTTTTCAGGGGCCTACAGGGCAACTCTTGACTCGAATCGATACCCCAGAAGCTCCGCCGGAAACAAGAAACAAAATCTGCGGTCTGGGCCTTGCACAATTTTGAGACACACTCAACGCGCCAGTCCTGGAAGCCCCAAACACCACCGTAGCAAAGCCCGTCGATGACACCTCAAGTTGGGTCAAAGAGGGGCGATGCTAGAGCCCGACAACCCGGCGCCCGCTTGTTCGGCGAGGTCCATGTTCAACATGAGATCAGTTGAAGGGGGTTCTTTTGTGTGCCTTGGGGCGATATTCCGAGCCTTAGGCGTCCACCTTGATAGGAGGCTCCCAGAAAGCCGCACGTCATCCCGTCCGCAACGGTGCTGATCTTCTGCATCACCTCTGCGCGACCAGCGAAAGCCCCTGATCTCAGCATCCAAGTCACCCCCAATCCCGATGAAACCAACTTCGATGCGCCGCGATTTGGTCAAAATCACGTTGACATCCCGATGCGGACTTTCATGGCCCAGGCTTTTCAACCAAATCATGGGCTCAGGACTCACAAGCCTGCTGAGCAAATCATGCCCCACCGTTACAGAAACGCGACGACAAGTCATGCGATGCGGACACTGAGGGCCAGGCTTGCTGGTCAACGAGGGCTGTCAGGGGCGCGTGTCACTGGTTCAGCTTGGGTGCCAAAGATGGGCTTAAGTGTTCTCATGTCGACACCGAATAGAACGCAAAAAAAAGGAACAAAAACATCTGAAAGCAATCTGCAGTCCATGGTTGATGATAGCTTTGCTGGCGTCCTCTGGCGGGATGATACTGCACATAACGCTTTCACTCGGCAAACATCACCCAGGGCCTTTCAGGTTCGTGGAAATCTGGTCCTTCAGAGTGCTAGTCTTGGTGTCCAGGTCAGTAAAAATGTCCTCCAGCGCCTGACCGTAGTACCTGAGAAACGACTAAAGGTAGGCCTTGTAAACAGAATTAGACTCTCCCAAATATAGCTCGGAGTGGCTTTCACAAAAAGTCATTTCTTTCTGGTTTGCCTCCAACGGGGAGTCGAGAGTTGGTTGTTCGGTTCAAAATAGGCCCAGGTGATCCCCAACAGCCTCGGAACTGTCCGGAACCCTCCCTGAAAGCTGGGCCAAACCACCCCAGAGCGTATCTGGCAAAGGCCCCCTCCCTTTCAGCTGCTGGGGGAAGAAAAATAGGGAGGAGACCTTCCTCCCTGTTTTTGACCAGGACCGCCCCCCGAAAAGCAAACGAAATGCAACTCAGATGCTCAGTGGCCATGGGAAAAAAGGGCCTCCTTTTTTGGTGGGTTGAGTTTAAAGGGGAACCTTCCCCAAAAAAAAGGAGAAAAAGGATGCAACCCACTGGGCAACTGGGGCAACTCTGAGCCCAGCGCGTGCTGAGCAGGTCCTGGAACTGGTCCACCGTGCAATCGTAGGTCTCCGGGACCATGGCGCCGTTCACCAGGCAGTTTTGCCTCAAACCGCGATCAGATCGATGAGATGGGCGGATATGGCTGTGGGTCAAAACCAATGGTACCCATTTTGGGTTAGGTGCACCACGCGTGTTTACCGGGGTATCCCACATTTGTTGCTTGATTGCGGCCAGTGGAAACTCGCGCAGACTCCGACAGCTGCAAAATGGCTACGGGATCCTCACTTGCGGCCCAGGCGCGTGCCCGGGTTGCAAGGCATTCCGTTCTTCGTGAACCTGCGCAGGGTTCAATCCTTATGGGGTCTCTGGTTTTGAGCCTTGGTACCTTTTTTGAGCCTTGGGGTGTTCAAGGGAAATGACATGGACAACCACCATCTTGTGGGTTCCCCAATTCTGAGACACGCCCAAAATGTCCCTTTGAAACAGCATGTTCACACTGCAAAGCACAAGTTGAATGAAGTGTTCGCGCTTGCGGGAAAACGTAGAACAACCTGCACACATGCTTGGGACTCCAAAAAGAGTCAAACCAAAGGAGTTTGAGCGACCCCCTGCCCCAGCCCCCAGGCGTGAACGCCCGGAGGTGCCAGTTGCCTCCTGCACTTGAAGATGCTGGATCCAACGGGGCCTCAGGACGCTTGCCCATTTCTCTGGTGGGTTCCCCATGTGGCGGGTCAAAAATACGGCAACCCCAAAAATGGGTTGCCCGGGCAAAAAAAAAACTGGTGTTCACTGGTGGCTTCATTTTGACCCACCCCCATGTCAGGTGGGAGGGTCATTTGTGATGTCAAAGTAGGGCCCGAAAAGGTTTCCCCCATACAGCGCCGAGGTTGTTTGCCTCTGAATGCATCTGTTGCACCTCTCAGGCTCACGCATAGCGCCTGAATGCTTTCTTCGTTTGCTGGTGCTGCATTGAGATGTCATTGCACAAGGTAGTCATCGTGGCCGTCGCCACAGTTGCTGTTACTGCTTCCAACGTTTTTGTATATACAACCCCCCAGACTTCTGCATGGGGGAATGTCTCGTTACAAGGGCCGCAAAGCAAACCACCTGTTGAAGCTTCACAGGAGATGGACTGCATGAAGTAGAAGGAAACCTCCCGCACCCTATGAACATTTTTTCTCTGATAGGTCCAAATATTTGTTCATGCCGATGATTGGGGTACTGACAATTGACGCGTGGTTCAATGCAAACATCTGACACAACTTGTCTACCGGCTGAGAGGCTGTCATGAAGCAACGTGCCCCAAAGTTCGGAGGCCCAATGGTGCTTCTCTCGTTGATTTGCGCATGCGCAAATCAAGCCCCGACGAAGACGAAGAAAAAGAAACAGAAAAAGATAGGAGAAAAAAAAACAGCACTTTCGGATAGGCCCCGGGCGGAGCCCAACCTTCAGATCCATGAAAGCATTGCTGGCGGCGCATACTGCAGCCTTGGGAATCCGTTTCTTGCTGGACTGATACAACTGCACTTCCACGGCAAACCGCCGAAATGAATCAGCTTCCAGGTGGGCGGTTTGGATTCGTTCTTCGGGATACCTCCCATTGAACCACCAGTTGGCTCGAATCCCGGCAACAATCCCAACCGCCCAAGGGCAACCTGAAAATGAATGTCTATGTTGACCCTTGAAAAACTCCTGGCACAAGATCACGCTGTCCATCAAGTGGACAGGCCCCGGCCGGGCCAGGGCAAGAAAAGGAGGCCGGAGCTGGCTGGA